GCGCACCCCGGCCCCGGAGGCGGAGCAGCCTGGTCTCCAGGCCTGGCAGCACTGCAGGCTCTGTGCAGCCCGGGACCCAAAGCGGAGCAGCCTGGGCTCCAGGGCTGGCAGCACTGCAGGCTCTGTGCAGCCCAGGACCCAAAGCGGAGCAGCCTGGGCTCCAGGGCTGGCAGCAGACCCGGCTCTGCTCTCACCTGAGGCGCCCGCTCCCAGCAGCTGCCGCAGCCTGCCGCAAAGCTGAACCATGGTATCCAGCTGCCGGTTTATCTGTGCATCCTGCACCCAGGCTGGCACGTGGCACACAGGGCATTCCGTGCCAACACAGTCACCCACACAGGACCTGAAAGTCAAAGGTAAAGATCCATTACCCTACCGTAGTCACCATCAACCTTTTCATAGCCAAACGCTCAGCAAGAATTTCTTCATTTAGCATTGACAAACCGCTATTGTAGAGCCCGCATGATTTAGTCACAAACGCAGGAGAGGACACGCTCATCGCAGCAAGTGACAAACCATAATTAAGCAAGTCAAGCCCAGAGCCTTGTCAGGACATTGTCATGAAAGACGTGGTGGTATCTTGCGACTCCCATAGACTCGCAAGCTGATCCAAATATTCAAGGCATGTTAAAGCTCTGCTGCTGTTTGTCTCCAGATAACAACTAGGCTCAAACAGAACTACACATTCTTTTACACCTCAGCCAAAGGTAGGGCTTCTTTTCTGCAGCTTTCCATTTCTAAGCAAGTGACAGAAGGCCAATCCACAGCAAACTACCATTTCTACTTTTTCTTACTTACAATTTTCTTGATACTCTCAAGTTTCACCTGTCCGTACACCGTTCTGTAAGAGGTCCCACGAGGATCTGCAGGTGTTCAGAGTATTCCACCATTTTTCTCTTTCAGAGCATTTGTGTCAGGAGATGATCAAGGCAGGGCGAGTGGGGCAATGGATTTACTCAGTAAAGGTCATCTAACGCTTGTAGCTTCTTAGTAATACTCCTCTCACCATCACAGCCTAGAATCTTTTATTCATTTGATTAGTCCAGTGAGAGGACCTTTTGATTTGGCATCTGAACTGCAACATTCAAGGGCCATAGTTACTTCTCAGCTCCAAGCTAGCCTATTAAACACAGCTTAGAACTTCACACACCCAAGACCGAATTAATTCAGAAGTCTATGTGACCTTGCCACCATGTAGCACACACAATTCTACCCAGAGTTACAAAATTAAACATGAACAGTTCATGTCAAACATCCAAAGGAACAGAACACATGTAATATCAAGGCACTGCCACCTGGAGAGGAAGAACAAAGTCTGTGCATCTAGATAACCTAAAATTAGCTTGGGAGCCAAGAGTCACACACCACAAAACCAGCAGTGTATCAGTTAAGAATATCAGAATAACTACCACCACTTTCCTTAGGAGGAGAGTTATTTTCAGACCTGTTCTCTGCGCTGGCATCTCTCTCTCAAACACCACACAAGTTTCATGCCCAAGACAAGAAATTTGTTGTGTAAAAATTGCTGCTAGGTGTGGTTTATGCTTTAAACAGCCTGCTCTGAGCAGGTAAAAACCTCATGCTGGAGACACCACTATGACTGGGAGACTAAAGCACAGCTCTTGGCTCTGACATATTCTAGATGGCACTGACAAATCACTTGGAGCAAACATAAGAACCAACCAGGTCTTGTTCTCTAGGAAAGTTGGCCTCAGGTCTCCCATGTCTGTAAATGGTAGCGAAAGGAAATGCGGAATGACTTTTATACCATGACATTTCCTAATTACCTCTAGCTGTTGGGTTTTTATACTTAATGGATAATGACTGTAACTAACTTAGTAGAGTTACTCTGACAAAACTGCAGAAAGTTATCTTAATAAATATCTGTGCCCATAAAAAAAGTCATCCTGAGGGAGAACCAGTTGCATTATGTGTGATCTGGGGGCCTACAAGAAGGCTGAAGAGTGACTTTGACTTTTTACCAGGGCATGTGGTGATAGGACATGGGGTAATGGCTTTACACTGAAAGAGGGCAGATCTAGATTAGATATAACAGAGAAATTCTTCACTGTGAGGGTGGTGAGACACTCGAACTGGTCTCACCTGTTCCACACAACCCAGAGAGGTCCTGGATGCTCCATCCCTGAAAGTGTTCATGACCAGGTTGGATGGGGTTTTGAGCAACCTGATCTAGTGGGAGGTGTCCCTGCCTATGGCAGGGGGATTGGGACTAGATGATCTTTAAGGTCCCTTCCAATCCAAATTGTTCTATGATTAGTGCAGTTCATTAGTGCTTCACTTATTTCACTTCATATATAAGCCGCCAGCTCCAGCCATTCACCCCACTCCTTCCTGGGTATATTAATGAATGTCTGTCTTTAGCAATGGACCAGAACCAGCTCACATCAGAATACTGCAGATTCAATCCATGCCCTACCAAATTTGCTTGTGAACAAATTAAATTTCCTTAGGTTTATTTAAAGAAATAGCCACTATCCAAGACTCAGTCAAAGAACACATGAAATTGGCAACTAAAAGGTCAGGCATACAAAAGAGAAAAGATCAAGTATAACAACAACTTGGATAATAGCAAACAAATTATTTTTCTAGAGTAAGAAACAGCTGCTAATGAGTGTTTAAGACTCCTATTAGCCATTCTTTCCAGCCTCATCAATGCAAACTGTATCATCTTCTGATATCTCTGAAAATTTTTCTTAAACAACCCACCTCAACAAACATTGAGTGTTTGAAATCTGTCACCTAGAATACCCTGGGGTTATATAAATTAAATCCACAAGGCCTTAGATGCCTAACAACTAGACAATTATGTTTTTGAACCCACCCTTACGCTACCCTTCAGGAATCCACACCACACTCAAGGGAAAAAAAAATATCATTTAATGACATAAATATGAACATATTTTTAAAAAACTTGCACATGCTTCTAGGGCTTATTTTACTAAGTACTCTGTGGGCAGGGAGCACAAATGGAACAGGTAACAAAAAGTTTGCTTCAGACATCAAAATTTTCTACAGTAATTAGTGGATAAATCTGGGAAAGAACCCATGTGCCTAGATAGAAATAAATCATTTGTACGTATTTTAATAAATCCATACTGTGGGGAAGAGATGCTGAGGGCATCTGTGCCATAACCAGTTACTCCTTAAAAAGCAAGAAAACCTCTTGCTAGTATTTTACTCTTCAGGCCTTCAACACTTCCATTACTTCAAGCTCCCATTACAAAGGTGCAGTTTAGAGAGTGAATACACAGCCAGAAGGGAAGGATTTCCTTTGCTTTTATCGACACAGTGACCACAGCACTAACAAGAGGCAAAGCTCGATATCCAGACTGGCTGACAAGCAGAGGCTGCAAAGTGTCTCTCCACAGTAACAAGCATGGGATTTTAATAGACAGCTCATATCTGGCTATGCTGAGAAACGATTTAAAACATATCACTGATCTTTTAACTCTCCGAGTTTGCCATTTACATGCTGCGAAGAGCAGTGACATACAGGACAGCCACAAGGTTCCATCATCTTCCCTAGACAAGGTTCTGTGGTATGAACATTTCAGACTCTGTCTGTACTGATTATGCAGCGAACTGTCCCAAGACAAGCCAAAGTGACCACGGCCTTCTCAGAACTGCCTCGTTAGCAGGATGTTTGTAGCTTAACTCAAGTTCTTTTAAACAGAGAGAAGCTCCTCCCTCCATCAAACTGAGTGCTTCTTTTACACCCGGCCAACACCGTGAAGCCTAATGCAGCGCTCAGAAAGCCGGGGTTTTGCTCTGGCAAACCAAACACCCGCCCTAAAGCAGCTATCCGGCCCTACCGGGGAGCAGCC